GAAACTAATACATTCTAGGCCAAGGAGACAAATCCAAAGTCCTCCATAAGGAATTGGCTTGTCCGAGAAGAAATAACGATACGAACGCAATAATCCCATATCCCGATAGAAGCCAAGGTTATCTGTCCCAACCCTGCCCATTGCTGGGCGTTAACCTGATAAGCCATTCCGATCTTATGCAGTGCACGAGAGAAAGAAGAAAAGGGCGAGAGGGGCAACGTATTCAGAAGAAAGCATTTAGTAGCCGTGTCGTCGGCGTAGCCTTTCTTCGACTTCGAGTTTGCGGCGCAGTGACTCGTTCTCGCTGGTGAGTCGTTCATTGGCTGCGATGTGGTCGTCCATATTTTCTCGGAGCCGCTTGATGCGGCGGTCCTGGTCTTCGTAGCGGCGGCGCCACTCGGTAACTTCGTCCTTCAACTGTCGGACGCGATCATCCGTTGCTTCCTTGGCTATCCGCAGAACCTCCCTCACCCGCGTCTTGAGGGAGTCGTTTTCGGCCTCAAGCTTTGTGTTCTTTCTGCGCAAGTCCCGGATCTTCGTCTCGCGGCGGCTGTCAACGTCGGAATTGCTCTCAAGGGATCGCCGAAGCTCATGGTTCTCAAGCTCTAGTTGATCGATCCAGGCCTGCTGATCTCGTATTGTTTTTTCCTTGCCCTGAAGTTGACTCTTGAGGACTTGGTTGTGTCGTTGGAGCGTGTCGTTGGCCGTTCGCAGGCCGTGCTCACGCTCCTGCATCATGTCCAGGTCGTCCCTATAGACAAACGCAGGTCTTTCGTCCAAAGTTAAGCTGTGTCGGCGGTAGTGTGACCGACGAGGACTTCTCGGTGGTGATGGAACGTCGATAAACACTCGATGGCCCGGCATGCGGAAGGCAACAGGCGGTGCTGTTCTATATTGAGTGTATCTCCTCTCTGTGTTCGGCCAGAGAGCGTATCGGTGGATGTACTGAAGACTAACAAGCCAGGAGAAGTGGGGTGGGTTGGTGAGAGGGAATTTGTAGTGTTCTCAACGGGGAGTATGGGCAAGGCTAAGCTAAACCGTATGCAAGTGATGGCTGCATGCATCCAAGGTGAAGAGCGAATGATGGGGAATGACTTGACCATGGCTCGAGCGGGCCGGGTGAGGCTTGTTTAAAAGTGAGCAAATCAGGCAACAACTTGTTACCCGTTGAGAAAATGCAGGCAAGGTGAAGGGGGTGGTGTATGAATGAATATGTGTGTGGCCATGCAGAGCCTCGTGGGCCCGGTTGACCGCCGCAGCCCACCCACAGCGTTCGAGCTGCCCATCAAGACGGCACCGTCTGGTAGCCACCCTGTCCTAGGGCCAAAAGATAGCGGGAACGAGATGGGATTGACCGAGATACAACCCCGACATTTGCTAAGCACTTGCTTTAAGGTGCCACCAAACGAGATGGTTTTCATCCGACACCTAAGTTTGAAGCGCTTGTTCGGGAGAGCCCTCATTTCGGAGGCGAACAGAGCGGCCGCCAGGAGCCTAGCATGGCTGCTAACAAGAGGTACTCGGTACAACATCTCAATATTGGAAACCACAGTTTGTGTGGTGTCTGATCAGGTAGCTGAGAGAAACATGGCTGGTTGTGATCGTTGAGTATCGTGGCATTTTGCATGTTGCAGTCGGACGCGGGGAACTTGTGTCGCGGCAGGGGGGGCAGCAGCTGAGGGAAAGGACCTGCTCAGCCGAGATCTCGAGCGGGCTGAATGCGGTTTTGTCAGGATTCTATGCCATCGCGAACTTGAGTTGCATCCGATGCCAGGTTCAAGATCCCAGGTTGACTTGTCATATGGACGAGTCTGGTCGTTGGTGACCGACGTCAGGGTTCAAAAGTTGATGCGGTGCCAGATACCTGACCAGGGTGATAATCGAGCGAACGGAAGCCACTGGCGCCCCGTTGATGTCAACGGTCCAGTGTGGGTCGTGGCTGCCCTGTAAGGCGCCCCGGAGGCCTGTCGTCATTGCCTCGAGAGCCAGCCGCATGATCGCCGTGATTGGGGATCCCCCTCCTCCCAATCGCGACATTTTTCAACGCCTCTGCAAAACAGTTCCTGCACTCGCAAGCACTTGCATCTGCATACGGACCTAAATTCAACTCAAGTTAGCATTTTCGCTTTCTTCCAACTTCAACGTTACATGTGATTTTCAGCCTCACCTTGGAGACCAACATTGGGATTCGAAACAGCGGCATGTAATGAACTCGCCATCATTCGATGCATCCTCCATTTGCCTGCTGCCGTCTGCTCCGTAACCTCCTCATTTCGAAGAAGTTGAACACAACCGACGAATCTCGTGTCAGTTGTAGCCCCCAGATCAAACCAAGAGCACTCACACTGACGGTTCTGGGGGGGATCGCAAGCGCCTCAGCCGCACACAGCCTGATATGGTTAGAAATGCTACGACGCCACCGACGCGATGTTTGGCGCACAATTCGCTGCATCGAACGCTGCGCCACCTCCCGCTCTCTCGGACTCGGACAAGAAGTTGAAAGGAGTGATGCCAGTGACCGGCCCGGGTCTTATGGCTTGAATTGGGGGCCGAAAACACGCCCGTCCAGAAACGCAATGACTCCCGAGCTGCATGATTCTGCCTCGTTTCTCAGCTCGACAGGGTCAGAACATGGATATAGTCACGGGAGGCCGCCATTGCACACCTGAGCGTCTGACTTGGTCCCTCCCTCTGCTCCGTCCTTTTCGCGCCAGCCAGCCATCACATGCGAGCCGAACTGCGGTTTTTGTGAGCCTGCTTCTCGCGCTTGGTGCGGGTGAGGGGCGGCGTCAAGCGGTAATCGTTCAAAGCGCTCGCAGCCTTGTCTCGCAGTCTCCTGATTTGAGGATCCCAAGTCTTATCGGTCGCAACCCAACCCCACCTCCTCACGTATCGCAGGCCTCTTCCTCCACCTGTTATGAGTGCCTTCACATACCCCAGCGTCAGCCGGGGTTCTATCGAGCAAAACTCCGACCCCGTCGTCATTAAGCAGGTCTTTTGGAATCGGGACAATGCTCCGCAGCAGTCTGCCTGTGAGACAAGCACCCAGCCCTTGGCCGAAAGTAGTCCAAGAACGGTGCGTTGAGGTCAATCGACTCGGACACCTGCATGCCATTGCGAAGGACAGCACTTCCAGCACCTCCTGGGGAATATTCTGGATTGGGAATCGACTGCAAGGGGGTGGCACCTCCTGCGTCTAGCTCACCGAGCTCGAAGACCTTGGTTGCCTCAATGGCCCGCAGGCGATAGACCCTCCTCAGGTCGCCTTTCGTCGGCCACATTGCCGCGATGCCTGAGTCACATCAAGTCGCGCAATTCCAATGGGCCATAGGTGTTCTCGTCAGCACGGTGGCTTGAGCAGTACGTCACCACGTGTGCCGTGCGATAAGGTCCGTCAGCAAGTATTCTCGTCGCGGCTCCGGTTCGCGACCCAGATGTTGCGGCTCTGGACTCGCCTGCTATTATCGTCAGCTCTTGTGTCTCGTTGGGTGGAAGTCAGAGCAATTGGGAATCAGGAGGGCTTGGGATTTGTCCTCATCGGCACAGCAGCTGAAATCTGTTCAATTGCACTTACACCTTGCTGCATCCGAAGGGAACGCCGCCAATGGGTGTGCAATTCTCTTCTTCCTTTTGGGTTGACACCAAAGGAAAGGAGAACGGAAGCTACACAGGACGTTTGCGACGGCTCCTCTGCTCAAATACGTCTTTCTGGCACCGAGTCGAATTGAGATTGATGTCTGAGGTCAGCTGAAGTTAGACTCGATCTCTCGGGGATCCCCGTCCTCATTGACCGTTGGCCGCCTGCCATTGGACAGGATGCCGATCTAAACAGCGCTGCCACCATTGAACAGCGTACGGGTGCACGCCTATTGGGTGCAAGTGCATTGAACTCGCGTTTCTCGGGGCTACGGTTCTCTAGTTTGGCGACTGCATGACCATGGAGTTTACGAAGCCCCATTTGGATGAGGCTAATTTGAGTCGAGCCCATAGCGGGTTTGCATATTCTTCAAGCGACATCAAAAAAATAAAAATTGCAGCCCTTCATACCAATTATGCCGGCGAAAAAAGCACACGAGATAGTTGCAGGGTAGACATGCAGACTGTCACACCTCGCAAGAAAACCCTAAGCTCCTTTCTGCACCGGCGCCAAGTTCGGAAACACAGAAGTAGAAACACTGAGTAGTTCTGCGAGTAGTTCCGCCTGCGGGGTAACAGAAAGTCGTGCATGCTAGCTTGAATGTCCCATCGACGACCGCGCCGAGGACCTCCTGCAGCGGAGCAGTCGGAGCAGCAGACACAGAGACCGATATGGCGGGGAGGATGATGAAAGAAAGCTTTATATTGTGTCGCCCTTTTTGCAAGATGTGGTGTTGGTCTGTTGAGTTGGTGATCTAGGAGTTGAGGGGTGCCAGCGCTGGGCACTCAGTGGGGATTGGTTTCTGCCAGCAATTTCAAATTAACAGGTTTGGGGGTATCTGTTATGACTCTTGCAAGTCCCAGCTGTAGTCCAACCTGTCGTCGGCTCTCGGTCTTACAAGCAGGTTTCATCTCGAACCCGGGGCAGAGGAAATCAACATAACCTTACCATTTCAGAGACAGAAAATGCATTACCTTCCTCTTCGATGAAGAACTATGCAAATAAAATAAAAAAGGAATTTAACCGTTGGCGGCTAGTGCTCCCCTAAACCTGTGGCATCGCAGCGGTTCTCTAACCAATGGCCAGGGCGGACTCCGTACCTAGATATGAAGTAAAGGTCACCCTCAGAGTGTGCATACAACATGAATTAGTACCTAGTTTCCATAACCGCTAGGTTATGGTCCTAGGCGTCTCCGCATTTAGGATGTGAGAAACTCGAAGAGCGACTGAATGGGCAACTGATATGATAATACCCAGCTCGCACACGGAACATATAAAACCACCTAGTTGGACACTCCCAACACCTCAAAGATCCCGGTGTAATATGGCGAAGAGCAAAAAGGAAGGCAATCGCCGGGAATTGAGCCCGACGTGGGGGTCGAACCCCATGAGATGATCTCGTGAGATCTGAATTATTTTCATAAGAGTCTCACGCTCTACCGATTAAGCTAGCCGGGCGTGTGCCTGGGTATTGCTGTTGGAATTTTATGCGTGAATTTTCAGATATTAGTCGTGTGTGGTGAAAACTTAAAGGTCTTTTATGGAGAGACAAGTCCCACAGGACGAGTTAGGGCTAACTCAGGCGTATGATTTCGCATACGAAATCAAGCGTAGGGGTTTTGGAGCCTGGCATATCGTAATAAATCTCAATTCGGGTATTATGAGTTGTGTTGGGTCGAAAGACATTGCCGAGCAAAGGTGTACTTTGCCTCAAGTGCCCCAACGTGCAGCATTCAGTTACCCATCGAACTCCTATATATATATAAGAGTAGAAATCGAACAGCCCGGCAGCTACAGTGCTCGCGTCTCCTCGTGAATCATTACCTCCCCAACTCTTCCTAACAAGAGCCCTCCGTGCCGCTATATCAATACATAAGCATTCTTTGAATTCATTCCCTAACTTACATCGCCTTCGCACACTCGATAATCGCCGCCTCCCCTCCAGCGGCCCAGTGGGCCTTTACCACACCGAGTCCCGCCCTTGCCGTTATATCCCTGATATTCTCCAGCGTTCTTTCTTTGCCGCTCAAACTCGTCATAAAAATATTACTCGCCGTCGCAGACAACGAAGGAGGCTCACCCATGACCTGCTCGACTACCACTGTGGTAAATATCCGTCAGCGATTTCTCCTCAAGGCAATTCATAAGCAACACAATGTCCCAGGCGCACACATGCCACGCCCAAGACATCCAACAAAGCCATAGTAGACCGCACTAGGAGATAAATGGCGATAGGGAAGGACTCACGTAACCGACTATCTGGCGCCATAGCCTCCCTCACATTCCTCAAGATCCCCACGCACGCCTCATCGCTATAGTCGTGCAACATCCTCCTCATATAATACACCAGCGCGCCATCTACTGGTCTGCCTGCCGTGAAATCAACCCCGACGAACTTCAGCCCCTCTAGATCCTGATCCTTCACGCGTTTCGCCGCCTCGACAATCTTGGGTAGATCCTGCAACACGCACCGCTCCATACTCAACCCCCTCGTAGCCTTGACAATCTCCTTGAGAGAATGCCCCGATCCGCCACCCACATCCACCACCACCACCGCCCTATCTGTTTCCTTTGCCACGTCAGCCGCCCAGGAGAGATCGTATGGCGCGAGGAAGGGGTACGTCCTGTCCATCATCTTCATGGCTTCGACGTAGTTCGCCATTCGCTCCGGGGAGGAGTTGATCACCTGCGGTACCGAAACGCCGGGTTTTCCGTGGCCAAATGAAAAAAGGGAATTTTTGCGGCAGGTGGGCGCCTTGGGGCCGTACTTGTCGAAGTAAGCCGGGGAGGCGAGGATGGGGGGGAGCATCTCGTCGAAGAAGAATTGGGCCATACGTGGGGTGGCGGCTAGTGAAAGGGACCGCGGAGTGTGGGAGAGGCGGTCGCCGCAGCGGTTGAAAATCTTGGCAGCGCCGAGGACATAGGCGTAGCGGACTTGGTGTTGTGTTAGTACGTAGTGGGTCCGTAAGTGCTGACCAGGGAAATGAAGTTCTCACCGAGTAGACCGGAATCTACTCCAACCTTTCTTGCGAGGTCGTCGATGGAGATGTCTTGGCCGATGGGGGGTAGAGCGGTGAATGCACCCCATTTGATAAAAAGCCGGATGGAAACCGCTTTGGCAAAGTGGTTGAACATCTCGCGTACATCGTCGACAGGCCCCTCGAGGGCGGCGTTCACCTGGGCTGTGGCGTCAAGTATCTCGGTCCGCTGTGATTCGAGTGATGATCCATTCCGCAGGCGGTGGGAAAGTAGCATCAGCCGGGAACCCAGCGTCTCAATTTGGTTCGCGATGTCCTGAGTTTGGGAAGCCATCTTGAGGCTCAGGGGGTGTAAGCGGCCTAGGAATTGGCGAGTCAGAAACTAAAGTGTATCAGTCTTGGCGGCAACTTCTTAGATGTGTCGGCAACCTAAACAGAGAACTGATAGACAATCCAAAGCCTGAAACGCAATCAACCGTGTGCGGCAACGAGTCTAAATAAATGCTAGCATCGGAATGCCAACGATGCTGTTTGGCAACTCTAGGCACGGATAAACCAAAAATAAACGAACTGCGGCTCGACGGCGGGGACGGTCCCGCAGGAGGCAGACCCAACACGGCTGGTAACCTTTGCAAACCACCAATATATATCCACAAGAACTAGCGGCTCGTCTGCACGCGAACGGCGCGTGCTTCCATCTCTGGCCCCGAAGAAAAGGGGGGACAAGTGATGTTCAGCTGCCGACATCAGCTGCGATAAGTCTCTGTTTTTATGTCTATTAGAAGTTAAACCGCCGAGGCCAGGCATGGATGGGGCTTCTGCAGATGTGCACTCGTTTTTTTGGGCCCCGGGAGTGTGCGGCGGAGTGTTCTCCGCTGTGAGAGCCGGTGTAACGGTAGGACGGGCACCTGCCGTGAAATGTGGAGCCATCGTGCCGGCCGGACCGTTCATGGACGGTGATGGCTGTCGGCCCGGTGTTCTGGATCAAAGTGAAAGGGATGTGGACCTGACTCTCGAGTGCCGCCGGGATACAGTGGCGTCCAACAAAATCGCCACCAGCACAGCGTTTCGTGGGGGAACGGACGGGGAGGGGAAACTCCATGAGGGGAGATGTGGAGATTCTGGGAATGTCGCAGCGGAGCCCACCACCTCATGCACAGCTACCGAGAAGCTTGCTGCACCGTAGCACCGCTCGTGTCCTCCTATTGGCAAACCGAGCTGAGCTGCATGTACGCTGGAGCATTAGGAATCGGATTTCGAATCTAAAGACGTCGTGACGCTCCCCGCGAAGGATGCAGGACCGAGCTGCGATGGCAATTGGGCGATTGGGGAAACCCCACCCGCAATTGGCCAGGCCAATTCTTGGCTTCTGGGCTAAAACAAACGCATCCCGGCCGAGTTGCTTCAATTGACGCCAGCCCGTCGACGGCAGGGTCGCATCTCCCACCTCTTCACGTCTTTGTTTCGTATGATGGTAGAGGTTCTCTTCGTGCTCGTCGATGAGGAGCAAGCCGTGGTTCCGGTAAGCCTACTGGGTCGGAATGAGCATAGGCTGGGTCTAGACAACGTCAGGTAGCGTCGTGCATGTTCGCCGTTCATCATCATCAGTGAGGTCAGCTGTCAGCTCGAACGACGGGCACCTGTCAACCTAAAAAAAGTGAGGAACCTCTTGTCGCCCCCCCAAAATAAGGACCGGTGCAAATCAAACGGTCAGGACAAGGGCCATCGTCCATGAATTGAATCTTTTAGAAACGAATTCGAGCCATGAGTCTGCTGCTCCTAATCAGTATTGCTCATCAATTGATGAAAAGACGAAGACGAGATTGAGGAGTGGACATCGTAGATGTGGAAGGTGGACGCGTGCATTAGCCAAGGCGATGTCTACCCCAGGCGACCACCCCACCAGTAACTAGCGCCATCCACCCGGCAGCTCGTCTCCTCCCTAGTGCTCCCCGCTTCGCCCGCCTGGCTCTGGCCCAGAGCTTGGATGTGGGCGCCTCCCCGTCCTTCACGCTGTGACAGTCGCTTTTGTTTGGTCTTCTCCTCCCTTCTCATCTTCCATCATCCTTCATCCCCCACCTGTGTGTTTTGTTTTTTTCTTGCTCGTCCTCCTGCGGGCCATTCAACTGGCACCTCGCTGTTTGTCGCATCCTCTTGATCGGCTTATCTGCCGCTGTGTTGCATTACCCTCGGCGATTGAGCATTATCAGCCACCACTCTATCAAGTATCAACAGGGATGCGATAAGCCGCTCCCCTCACTTGTTTCGTACCACCACGGCCCAGTGCTCTCGCGCCATTCAACAACACCGCGCACCCGATTTCGAACACGACTCGAGTTGGATTCCTCAACGGGGGATCTGCCGCTCACCAGCTCAGCGAGTATCGATATCGGCATCCCTTCCCGCCGTTCAACAGGTTGACACAACCCTACGCCAATGACGGCCGTTCGAACCCTGACGTGAAGGACAATCCGACAGCTGAACGCCCTTGCCAAGCGCCCAAGGCAACCCAGCACACGGCCGCCCATCATGATGGCTACAATTGCACTCCCGCGGCCTATCGCGCCGCACCGTCCTTCGTCAGACCTGGGCTCACTGGGGTCGACTATCACGCTCGACAACATCAGCCCTCCGTCGTCGTCGTCGTCGGCGATGGGCCACGGGCCTGTTCCGAACAAGCATATCCCCGTTTGCCCACCAGGTCCCGTGCCGCAGGAGGAGCCAAGCACACCTCCTCCGTCACCCAGCAGCGATGAAGACCGCCTCCAGCAATCCCTGCTGTCACCCCCGGACAAATTCACCCGCATCGAGTCGGGGCATTTGTCAGTGTACGAAATTGACGCCTCGGGAGTGGCCGCTGCCCTCAACCACATGTCGCGTCAACCCCTACCGGAGCCTGCCCAGGTCTTCCCCTGGCTCCATGGACTGCATCCCAGCAACCAGATCCAACAAGCGTTCTTTATTGCCCGCAAGCGTGCCCTTCGTCGGACACCCGGCTGTCTTCGGGGGATCACACTTGTCAAGGCCGATGGTGATCTCACTGTTGCCCGTCTCAAGGGTGCCATCGCTCCCCATGAGTTCCTCCAGCTTGGAGGCGCTACCCCTGAGTTTCTCGACATTGACCCTCGCGAAGGCTTCTCGGTCCGAAATTTCCAGATTCAAGCGGCCAAGTCCGCCATGACATCCGACATCATCGTCTACGGCCTCGATGATTTTGCGGTACGAAAGCTTGCCTGGGAAATCGCGGCGGCCCAGCAGCGATGGCGCGACAAGCACGAAGTGCAGCGTCACAGCTTGCCGGTGTATAATACCTTCTTCTGCGTTAACCCCTTTGCCGAGTTCGAGAACCACCACCCAGAAATTGTTGCCATCGACGCCTTTGGTCGACCGACGGGTAGGGTCCTTGACTTCCCCAGTCAGGAACGTGTTGAGATGTATGCCATGACCGAGGCATCAGAGGTTGCCCACAACGTATGGTTG